GTATTTCAAAATTTCCACTAAATTACAGTGACTGCATTGAAACTCTTGGTAGAAATGATAAATTCACCACATTTGACGCTGCACGTTTCTCTTCGTCCAGCATTTTCTTAGCCGAGATTAAATTCTCTCTAATGCACTGTGGAAAATTTCGTTGGACTGGCAAAATATTCCGTTCTCGTGAAACGAGACCTCGCGCGGCTCTCCTCCTCCAATACTTCGCCGAGTTTGGTTTTCAGGCCGCAATTAGTCCGAGGTTGCCGGTTAGCCGTAAGCAAAAATTTCCACGGAGGCGTTATTAATTCGAGACTGCCGCGGGATACCGGCAACTCCGCGCCCAAGGAATTTCATTAGATACAAAATTATGCGAGCAAGTGTGTCCCACGGCTGCGCGGAACACGGTTACGCGTGTCACCTGTCGATCCACGGTATTGAGGAGCAACGAAGGCAACGGAGCACGCGTTCCTCGCCACCCTTGTGCTTCCAGACTCTGTTCTCGATCCATAATGTTCGCTGAAATGACTAACTTTAATGTATGTTCGATTCAGCTTTGCATATCTCGCATTCGTTATGCGTGTAATTCATTATTGCCTTTGTTGAACGCGTTTCGAGAATGCTGGTGTAATGTGCTTTATATAAATATGTTTTGAAATGAAATTATATTGAAAATAAAAATTTGGGAATATTTGGGTTGTAGTAGCATTGGAATATCTGCCAAGATGCATAGATACAAAGATGCCTAGATACAAAGATGCCTAGATACAAAGATGTCTAGATAGAAAGATGCCTAGATACAAAGATGCCTAGATACAAAGATGTCTAGATAGAAAGATGCCTAGATACAAAGATGCCTAGATACAAAGATGTCTAGATAGAAAGATGCCTAGATACAAAGATGCCTAGATACAAAGGTGCTTAGATGCAAAAATACTTAGATGCAAAAATACTTAGATGCAAGGATGTCTAGATGCAAAGATGCCTAGATGTCTAAATGCCTAGATGCCTAGATTCCTAGGTGCCTAGGTGCCTAGATGCCTAGATTCCTAGATGCCTAGATGCCTAGATGCCTAGATGCCTAGATGCCTAGATGCCTAGTTGCAAAGTTGCCTAGATACAAAGATGCCTAGATACAAAGGTGCCTAGATACAAAGGTGCTTAGATACAAAGGTGCCTAGATACAAAGATGTCTAGATATTAAGATGCCTAGATACAAAGGTGCATAAATGCAAAAATGCTTAGATGCAAGGATGCCTAGATGCCCAGATGCCTAGATGCCTAGATGCTTAGACGCAAAGATGCCTAGATGCATAAAGATTCACAAATTCAAAGACGTAAAGATTTACAATTGCACAGATGCACAAACGCACATACGCAGAAATGCACAGATACCACAACAATAATAATCAATCTCCGGATGTTTACGCAAATCTAGATTTTCCTACTTCGAAGCGCGTTGGACAGAGACGTGAAAGCATATTGAAACCATGCATTTGCAGGGACTACTCTATCCTTCGTTCCTATCGATTACCATACGTTTATTTCACCGAGACATCATCGAAACAAAGACACGTTGTGAAACACAGCGACCGCCCGTTGTCCGGCTCAGATATCCTGAACCAGAAATGGAACACGACCGTCCGATGAAATCTCGATGATTCTGAGTCGTCGAAGTTGCTCAGCCCAGCCACGGAAACGCGATGCAACAGCTGAATTCGGAACAAAAACGACTGCCATGTAAACGAACCGCTGACGTTGACGTTCTTTGATGTCGCTCGCTCGCGCGATCGGTTCAGATCAACGAATCTACGCGTTATACCCTTTCGAGATGTCGTTATGAGAATCATGCGACTTTCGTTTTCATTTCTGTCGATGGCTCTCGGTTGCATTAAAACGATATATCATTTTGACTGAATTCTTCGAAAGCTTCATTCAACTCCTAGATTATATAACTTCCAACCTCTCATTTCTGAGTTCTAACTTCTAACTGAACACATTGCGTACTGGTAACTTGGTATGCAACTTTGCTGACTACTACAGCATTGAAAAAAATATTAAATTTAATTCGAATTGATTATCTATTTGAAATATATCACATAACAATATATCTGAACTTTTCTAGGTATAGCGATGTAAGTTGATCTCACTGAATTCTGTTTTCAATTCTGTTTTCTGAAAATAAATCTGTACGCGATGTGTTCACTTAATTGAACATTTAACCATCCAGATGATTCAACATTTTATCTACCAGTAACATTTTATCCACCACATCAAATTCAAATGTCTAAAATAGAAACTTGCAATTGAAGAATTAAATGATCTAATCACTAAAACATCGGTAGATTTCTTATTTCCTAATATTCACGAATTCAGTATTTCATTTAGTTTTCTATGCAGAAGACTCTTTTCCCAAAAATCCTCACCTCTAAATTTTAACAGTGATTAAAAGAAATATTTTATCCACCAATGTTCGTTCAACGGTCATTTCAACTTCGAGAAGCTTCGAAGGAGGAATGCGGGTAAAAGAGTACAAGATTGAAATATATGGTTCCCAGATTGATTGAACGCTTTGTTACGCGTCGTTCCGCGCGAACGGTACTCGCACTGATTGTAAATCCTGCCGCGGAATATAAGAAGACTCTCACAGTGTCCGATTTCAGCGCGGTCCGCGACAACAGCGAGCACGTGTGACGCAGACTAGCCGGCAACGGGAAGCTGAACCTGCCACAGAAACTGTGTTTGCCGCTCCTCTTCGATCCGGTAAACAGTTTACCACGTGGACGGCCGTCTTCGCTGCTTGAGTCGTTTAAATTCGAGACAATAAAACATTATCGGGAAACCGTGCAGAAGATTCGACGTCTTATCTTCTTAACTACTTCCAACAACTTCGCGGCGACCTCCGTCGGAAGCGCCGACTGCTTCTTAATCCAATAACAACACTTATTAATTGCTGAACCTTGTTTCACCGTTCAACAACAATTTCTTTATCTTCCGGACGCTTCGACTAACTTCGCCACTTATTAATCAATTTGCCCTTCTAATTGCGTTAAGAGTTTGCTCGGAAGATCCAGATGTTTCTTACAATTCTCTCTTCGGTTTTTATATATTCTTTGTATTTTACCTTAACATGTTGTTTCGTTATGTGACATAAAAATTAGATTCTTCTCGGTATTGTTAAGACTCGATCCCTCGGTTCGAATCTTCCGTGGATCTCAGGTCCGGAGATAAACTTTCCGCGATCTTTACGAGCAACGAACGCGTTGTACCGAAGGAAAACGGGTTGAAAGCAGCGCATCAACGGCTTCCAGTTAATTGTTACGTTATTACAAGTTTCCCGGGGGAAATACGATTCCTCTAACGTGACTCACCGCTGCCCGAAGAGCCGGGCAAAATGGCGGACCCGCGCGCGAGCAGCGGCCATAACTTCGCTCCACGGTTTCCCACAGATCTCGAGAATAACACATCGGGACCCGAAAACCGTTAGCCGGATGAATGAGAAAATGAGAAACTAAATGGATAAAGTCATCATATACTTTATTCATTTTATTAACCACTTAATCAATTCCTTGCCGCATTGTTTTCTTCATGACTAAATTCATTTAACTAATTTTCTCATCAATAACCTGCAAAAAATTTCAACGAATCTTCTATTTGCTATAAATGCATATTTTCTTTGAAGGCAAAATATCAATGATAACGTAATAATGTTTACCTTCGATCTTTATACAACAATCTAGCTTAATAAACAAACTATAAACCGCAAAACTAAATCGGAGAATAGGAGACGTTTCTTAATCTCCCTCGAAATTACTTAGTGAACTCGAAACTCCGAAATACCAGAGTTATTTACCGTGTCCCTTATCACGATGACAATTAATCGAAATCGAGAAACTGTTCTCGCCGCTAACGAGACATTGTGTACGGACATATCGAACATACCCGAAGGGTGAATGGGGGAAAATTTGGAACTAAATAGCTGCCGAGAGACTGGTGCGATAGCGGGAGAGAATTATTCCCCGATCGCGAATTATTCAGGACATCCGGCTAACAATGGCGTTCAACTAAGAAGCCAGGGTTCGCGCGACAGTCAGCGCGACAAACCGCAGCCGGAAGTTCCAATACGTTCTCAAATCAAATGTTTCTGAGTTTATTATCTTTATATTCGGCTCCTCGTATTTAACCACTTGCGCTGGAAATGAATTCGGAAATTTGGCTAAGTCTCCTGCGAGGAATTTTGTTTTTACCTATTTTACACTGATACGTACACTTATTCTATTTGTTAACACGTTCACACCGTGTAATTTCCACTGTAATCATTCCTTTTATTCTCATACGTGACTGAGACTCACACCGTGGTATTCGTTATAAAAACACGTGATACAATTAGGGTTAACCCTTTGCGGACGGAGATTCTTTGAAAAGTACAAAACCTTCAACGAATGAAGCAGAATTTCATATTAATTGCTTAAATAATAGCAAAAACTACATGCCAATCTCTTGCTGTCCAAGTGATTAAATCATTTGCCTGCGACTCAGTCTTCCAAATATGAACGTTTCATCTCACAAACATCGACGTTCGTCCGCAAAGGGTTAAATTCTAATAACACTATCCTTCCATTCTTCCAATTTATAGAACAAGTTTCAGTTTGTCTCACGTACGCGCGACATTCGCGCTCAATTAAATGCCCTTTCCCCGCCAAAGGAGCCTCGCTGAAAGCAGTCTGATTTGTATTCCATCGATCCCCGTATTTTTCCGCTCGAGCCTCGAGTTTCGCCGGAGTCGGGCCGGTTCCCTTGACAAAACCCCGGCGATACTTTTCGAATCAGTTCGATTCATATGAAAATCCTCGAATATTATTCGTCCCCGAGACCTCCGATCCGTCCGGCGTCCCTTCGGACGTCCGAGGCGGGACCCCCGAATCGTCGATCCCCGAACGGGAAGCGCGATTCCACTGATTTACGAGGTCGGTCTCGGGCCTCAGCTGGATCACCGTTTTCTGTTGCAGGATACTGGCCGTTCGGCGTGATCTGGTGCAACGTGTACGTGACGTGCGACGTGCTCGCGTGCTCCGCGAGCATAATGCACATGTGCTTCATCTCGCTGGGCCGTTATCTGGGCATCCGGAATCCGCTGCGGACGAGGCACACCGCCACCAAGCGGATGGTCGGCTTCAAGATCGCGGCCGTCTGGCTGCTCGCCATGTTGGTCTCTAGTTCCATTACAGTGTTAGGTAAACTCTCGCCCCTAATCTTCCTTCGTTTGAATCCGGCAGCAGCTGATTTCCACGTTTAATCCCTCGTCTTACAACGAACCCACTCTGCGGCTCTCCGCGAGCTCCGGGTGTACAGAATGTTTCAAAAATACGTGTCGCGACCAACGTGACTCTGCATATTTCATTCGATGCGAAAGGATGTGAGGATCGCGAAATTCTGACCTTGAAAAAATGCTTGAAATGCATTGCTGCAAAGTGTGCTACTGCATTGTGGAAGTAAACTGTGAAATGATGCATTGGATCTTGATAATGAGTAGAACGGGATCTAGCGATAAAGGATTTTAACACTAGAATTATTGATATCTTCGAAGCATTGAATATTCGAAATGATTTTGAAAATCAATAGCTTCATTTGAGTAGTATAATGGATGTCTGAAGAAATCGAAAATAGTATAACGAATGTCTGAAGAAACTGAAAATAATCTATTGTTACAATTTTTATAGGAATCGCATATTAATTGTATTAAATGCTCGGTAGTTCTAGTGTTAACACTAAACTTTCCATCGCATCGAAGTGAAATCGATGGTGGTCGTGACGCCTTCTTTCGGAACACCCTGTATCTACATGGACCCGCGGAAAGTTGCAAATAGACTGCGGATCTTCGCACGAAGTCAGAATTTCCTGAAGCAGTTTAAAGAGACAAGGGTCGAATAGAAAATTCTCTCGGAGATCTTAACGAGGTGAAAATCAACTGGAAAGCAGAAAATTCGCAGTCTATTTGAAAGATGCAAGTCGCAGCTGTTAATGCACTTTATTTTTGATTTACTAATAGTATTAAAGAATGCAGGTTCGTTTAACAGTTTGCGGACGACTGTCGACATTTTGGCGAGACGAAATTTTCGTATCGAAATCGCGTGGTTTCCATTTTTTGTATTAATTATGCATTCGATGTATAATTCAGCTTTATCTGCTGAAGATCTTGTATATTTCAAAGAATCTTCGTTCGCAAAGGGTTAAGCTTTCTACAATTCAGATTAACCCTTTGCACTCCGAACTTCTTTCGCATCTTTTCCTCGGTCACTCTGTATTATTACATTTTATTTGAAATGCACTTGAAATAATAGTATAAAAATAGTTACTTTGTACAGGGCAGTGTAAACGATTCTTCTCGCTGATAATATCGAAAATAACATAATAATTATTTTTAAAATATCTCGACAAAGAATCACACCAATGAACAAAACTGATGTCGAGTCACGCTCGACATTGGAGCGCAAAGGGTTAAGTAAATTTCCCTACGGCACATTTTACAGAATAGTATATAAATAAATTAATTAACAAACCGTTGACACAAGCCTACTCGGAATAGATCGCTAATCTTACATTCAACGGAGAGCGAGCTCGAATAAAATTTCAGTCAAATAAGAATCTTAGTGCAGTTCAAAGTTGATCTCATCGCGCTTATCGGAGCATCGAACTTCAGAAAGTTTCGCTCGCAGATAACTGGTGAACGATAAAGAATGCCTGGCAGTGGCGTTATCGCGAGAGACAGAGATCGTCGAAGCAGATTCGAAACAGAGAACATCGAGTTAACTATCGCGAGACGAGGGATAAATAATTCATAACGCTCGCGTGAATGATACGAGGATAAACCCGATAAGACGCCTTTGTATTTTACCAACAGATTTTCCCAGCAATACAGTCAAACTTGTTTTTGTATGGTGGATAGGAACCGCATAAAAAAAACCGCGCAAAACATGTTCAGAAATTTACGAAATAGTGAGAAAGTGCTTTCAAACAAGATAAGTAATTAACCGTTTGAGTGCTGAGGAGCGCTATAGTTTGTCAGTATCAATTATAATTTTCTTACTGTTTTTCAAGAAATAAATCAAAGTAAATTTATTTGAATAAATGTTATTTTTTGATATTTCTTTTGTAACAACTGCAAGGAAGAATAGAAAAGATGTATCGAAATTTATTCAAGACAAAAAATTGAAAAAATGTACAATTAAAATTTGATTTAAATAATTAATTAATTAAAAAATTATTTGATTTTTTTTAGCCGGTTTTTTTAAAAAAAACTGCGTTAAGGGATATTTTTAAACCATATCACAATAAACGTACTCATTATTTTCCATAGTAATACTGTTTCTGCCCACTGCACCTCCGAAACTTCAAAATTACTACAAAAAGGACTGCACAAAACAAGTTTGACTGTATTGCTCTCGCTCCAATCCTCTGCCTCTCCTTGTCGCTCTCTCTGTCTCCTTCTAATCGAACTTCTCTCCTTGTCGACGATTCGCTCCATCAACGATCTGTGATCCTAGTAAAAGGAGTCTAAAAGTAACAGCATCGTATGAACGGAGTAGAACGCTGAATCCTCTATCCTCTTCGCACAGTGATGCTATCCTCGTCTACATGCTCCTCGCATTATGTTCGCCTAGTCCGCGTTGAGGTGACGTAACGTAACAGGAGCGCATAACCGGAGCTAGTCGCCTAACCGTCCATCCTTCTCGCACGATCTTGTCTCCTTGTCTTCGAACCTCCACCGACGTCCTGTGCTCCTAGTAACAAAAAGTCGAATTTTGACGAAATTGCACAACAAGTTGTACGGAGTCGTATAGCCAGACGGCGCCGATGAATCTTGCCGCTCCGCGCGACGTGACTCGTGGTTCCAACGGCAAGAATCATTTGTGCGTCTGAGAAGATTAATGTGACTGTTTTCAGATGGATAATGTGTATAATTGAAAGTCATTGGAATATCACGCGAATAATAGTGACGCGTGATCGTTGTTTGACAGTTGATTATTAATAATTAATGGTTCAATGATTCAGTAAGTTTATAGTCGAACGATTCATAATGATTCGGTAATAGTCGCTTAGGATTACGTAGTAGTTTAGACTGTCTATGTTCCGCAAGTGGATAATAAAAAATTGATTTATACGTACTTTAACCCGGTTGGCTGTCAACAATCATCGGCTGGTATCACGTAACTCACTAGCTGAAAGTATTATAAATGATTTTATCCGCTTCTCTTCTTCTTCTTCTTATTATTATTATTATATATACAATTGAGATTCTCTAATGGGCTTCTAAGCTTAATCTCGCTGTTACAATCTCTAAATTCATTAAATGATACCAACATAACGCCTTTGCGCTGAATAATTTAACCCTTTGCACTCGGAAATTTTTCGCTAGAAATATTTAACATTTTTCGACGAGGCGAAGACGATATTCTTTAAAATTAACTCAAAGGCAAAACACAAGTATATTAAGGAACAAAGCTATTTTATTCCAATATTTCATTATGTATCACATTCTATAGTTTTACTCTATCAAATTATCCACTCTCGAGTGGAAAGGGTTAAATGTCGTGACTGCAATTTTATTCCGCAGGTATAATCAATTCCGTGAACATCATGCCGCGTCCGAGCACGTGCGTGATAAACAATAGAACGTTCTTCGTGTTCGGATCGTTGATCGCCTTCTACATCCCCATGATCGTGATGGTGGCCACGTACGTTCTAACGGTGCCGTTGCTGAGGCAGCAGGCGCGTTTCGTCGCCGAACACCCGGAACGAAATCAGTTCCGCAGATTAGGGGGCAGATACGCATCGACCAAGGCGTCCACGACCACCTCGAGCACCGCGTCCCTGACCACGCGACACGCCTGGAGGATCTCCGGTGGCACCGGAAGCGACAGGTGAACAATTTAGAAGAAACTTAATGAGCCGCTGTAACAATAGCTCATTTAACGCTAAAACTACCAGACGGCTCAAACGACCCATGCCTGATGTCTTTTTTTTCCAATTAGTAGAAAGGTAACAAATCTCTGAGAAATTATTGAAGAAATTCATTTAGCACTATGAAAATTGAATTGTAAATCAATTAATGTGAACAGATGCACTCTTTGAGTTTCTATAGCGAAATTTTAAAGTCAATTGAACTGCTGGTAGTTTTAGTTTTTGTCTTCTTCTTGCAATTATTAGAAAGGTAACAAATCTGTGAGAAATTATTGAAGAAATTCATTTAGCACTACGCAAATTGAATTGTAAATCAATTAATGTGAACAGATGCACTCTTTGAGTTTCTATAGCGAAATTTTAAAGTCAATTGAACTGCTGGTAGTTTTAGTGTTAACACATTGCGTACTGGTAACGAGAAATCTCGTTATAAAGACACTTAGCTATGCGACTTCGCTAATTACAGCATTGAGAAATATAACATTTGATTCGAATTGACTAAACAGTGTTAAACAGATGTCTTTTATTGTATGGACACTCGTTCAGCAATGACCATGGTAAATATCTTGTGTTTGTACACTGTTTAAAGTTCAATCCCTGATTGTCTTACACGTATTCGTCTATCAAGCTTCGTATAACCACGAAGAAACGAAAAGATGACCGGTTACCAGGTTACTAGGAAAAGCGAACGCAATTTCGCAACCGCGAGGACTATGCGGCAACGGCGCTGGAACGCCGGTTTATGACACGTCCAATGACAGTCCCAGAAAACTGACGCGAGACACACGATCGAATGAAATGCATCGAGGAAGACAGTATTCGGCAGACTGCTACCGTGACGGACCGAAGTTGCGCGAAATTATATTCTTGTCCAGCTGGCATTCCCGCTTATTCGATATTCCGAGCGTCGCGCGCGGCCGGATTTGCGACGATAACTCCGTAAATATTGACTGTCGGAGAAATGTATGCGGATGAGAACCGAATAACGCGCCGGCGAAACAGATTTCCAGTTATATCGGCAACAGTCGGTATTTTAAACGCAAACGCGATTCCCTGGCAGCGAGGTTCCTCTTTCGTGCGAGGGAATTGCGCATCGGTGGATACGAACGCTTCGAACAGTCAGCGAGGAATAAAACTGAACTCACTTTTTAAATATTATTGTCTGATGGAATCGTGACTGGAATTGTATCCGTTGATATCGAAGGATGAACGCGTGGACGTATCGGAGCGACAGATACCAGTGAATCGATCACTTTTCTAATAAGAAACAGTAGTTTTCGATTTAACTAAGTATCGAGCTGTATAATTCGCAACCTCCTTCGTCTGATAACTGCTTGCAATCGAGACATTTGATTCAACTGAAACTATAACATTTGAAATTCAATATTAACCCTTTGCGGACGAATGTCGACATTTCGGCGAGATGAAATGTTCATGTTTGGAAGACTAAGTCGCAGACAAGTGATTTGATTACTCGACAGTTAGAGATCAGCACGTAGTTTCCTTTTCTTCTATTGATTAAGCGTTTGATGGATAATCTAGCTTCGTCTATTGAAGGTTTTATACATTTCTAAAAACTTTTGTCCGCAAAGGGTTAAGGTTTGAATAAGGTATCAACGCATAAAAAACATAGAGCTAAAATAGTTCTGTCTCGAAACTTACGCGAGAGTGTTCTCTATGTTAGTTGCAAATTTTATTATAAACATTTCATCGGAGAATAGTGAAAAGAGTATTATCGAGTGCAAAGGGGTAAACGTATCAGGTGTTCCAAGAATGGTAGTACAATCGTTGATCGGTCCCTTATTCACTCAAAATCCTTAGTTAGATCAAATTGTTGGGACACCTTGTGCGTAACAAACGCCAGAAGCCGGGCGAAGCCAAACCGCAGCTAAATTTCACTGTGAACAGGACCGACGGTACATCCAGAAGTCCAAGCAATTCGAAACTGGTGCCGAAAGTGGATCATGCCACTCTAACGACAGATAACATCGTCTACGAAACAAGAAACTTCACTCGGAAGTTTTGAGGCTGCCGTTTAACCTCAGACTGCCCATTCTCTGTCTCGAATGTGATCTATAATTCGCTTTTAAATAGCCTTTAACACTTGATTATGTTTGTAATGATAATTTTCTGAGCAAAAATCAGTGCACCGGGAAATGATCTATTGTATGAGGTGGGTCATGGAGAAGTAGCCTGCTTCCGATTCTGGCGCCATGTTTGGAGGCGGTGTCGCGAGACAAACTGCCAGTCAAGCCCTTTGAACTCTGTAGGCTTCGATATTGCACCAGAAATAATATTAGATATTTTAATGAATCTTAAAGAAACTACAATTATTAACCCTTTGCACTCCAAAGTTTTTTACTAGAAATGTTTAATATTCACTGATGAGATACAGATGATGTCCTTTGAAACTAATTAATGAGAAAACATGTATAAATTACGAAGGAAAGTTATTTTATTTCAATATTCCATATATTGATGCATCGTGCAAAGCTTAATATTATATATGAGACTTCATAATTTTGCAAATCAAATCGAGTGGTAACAGAGTCACCTCTCGAGTGCAAAGGGTTAAATTTTTCACACATCCAAATTTTGCGCTAAGAAGGAAAATAAAAGATTTAAAGAATGTTATAGCATTTTTCATTTTCGCTGGGGATACTATAAAAATTAGTTGCAGTTACTGATTAATTACAAAAAAACCTTGAGTGCTAAGGGTTGATAATTTCGAAACAGTATCACGAATTGCTTTCCATTCGTTTTTCTCGAGAAGTATGAAAGATATTTCATAGATTTTTCACACATCTTGTACATCGCGTTTGGAAGACGACGTTCATTTTTGTTGCTCGTTAATCTTGTCATCTTATCAATATATTTAGGTGCTCCTCCACGAACCAACTTGTAGAATATCCCGGAGTAGCCGCGCAACAGACATCATAAACGAGATTGGCCTTGCATTAACGTGTCACCGAGTTACAAGTGACGAAGGTGGATTAGCCTTGGAACACGAATGGCTATTTGCAAATGCAAATGGGGGCCGGGACAATTCGGCCGGCCGAAATCGCTGAAAATTCCTCGTCGGGTTGATATTTGACCCTATGCACTCGGAAGTTTTTCACTGGAAATATTTCAAGATTTCCTAATGGGATAAAGACGATATTTTATGAAACTAACTCGAAGAGAAATTACACGTACATCGAGGAACGAAGCTATTTTATTTCAATATTTCTCAAATTGATGCATTATACAGGGTATAATATTAAATAAAAAATTTCATAGTTTTACTGTATGAAATCAAATGATGAGTGAGAGGCACCTTTCAAGTGCAAAGTTTATATCTTCCTAAATCTCAGATGTTAATCATAACGAACATATTTGATTTGTATTCCTAAATCGGTCGAAATCTCGAATATTCATAGCAATAAATACAATATTCGATTCAGTATTAATAGAACGACATTTCAACCGATAAAACTACATCCTCCCAATACTTCGTAACAAATCTAAAAATCTCCCATCGATTCCAACTTTTAATCCCCGACGAAGTAAAAATCTCATGTACAACACGTATCGATTCGTATTTACAGCGCGATAGTTAATTATACACAAAACTACATTCGAACAATTGATCTTACTAGGTTTATAACGGCACGAGCGAAGGGCAGATCTCTGGCAGCGAACGCAGTGGCGACGGAGCAGAAGGCCAGCAAGGTCCTAGGTCTAGTCTTCTTCACGTTCGTCCTCTGCTGGGCGCCATTCTTCCTCCTGAATATCTTTTTCGCCGCGTGCCCGGAGTGCCCGGTGCCCGGTCACGTCGTGGACACGTGTCTGTGGCTGGGATACGTGTCCTCCACCATCAACCCGGTCATTTATACCGTCTTTAACAAGACATTCAGGGCGGCGTTCATCAGACTGTTGAAATGCAAATGTTCTAGGTGAGCCAGTAAAATAAGACAAGAAAAGATCCACTGTTGCCGAGCAATTCTTCGCCGTTGTTCGATGATCAATGATACTTTTTATGTTTCCTTTGTGAAACTGAAACAGAATGGATGCCAGGAATCCTATATGGTTCAAGTCGATACGTATGGCCGAAGATAAATGACAGAGCAAGTCTCGCATCGCTACTTCCTCTGTAGGATAGTTCGACGGAGTAATTAATCATATCGAAAGCAAAAACGGATTCGTTTGGCATCCACGATTTGATCGATCCCTAAGATCCGTCGTGAACGTTTGGAACTAATCTAGAAATTGAAACTATTCGAAATTGTATAAACGAAGATAGTAATTATTTGAAGAATAATGTTTCATATTGAATCTAATGTAACCCACTTCTGTTTGATGAAATTTTCATATTTGGAATGCTAAGTCACAAAGGGGTGATTTAATTACTCGAACAGCAGGAAGTCAGTACGTAGTTTCCTTTTCCAATTATCTAAGCAATCGATATATAATTTAGCTTCATCTGCTAAACGTTTCCTGTACTTCAAGGGATCTTCGTCCGCAAAGGGTTAACCCTTTGCACTCGAAAGTTTTTTACTAGAAATATTCAATATTCTCTGATGAGATACAGACGATGTCCTTTGAAACTAATTAATGAGAAATCACATATAAATTAAGAAGGAAAGTTATTTTATTTCAATATTCTATGTATTGATGCATCATACAATGCATAATTATATATATAAGAATATAATTTTGCAAATCAAATCATGTGACTGAGAGTCACCTCTCGAGTGCAAAGGGTTAAATATGACTGCCAACCAACGATATACAGTTGAATATTGAATATCAAATTTTATAGTTTTACTACATGAAATCAAGTGGTGACTGAGAGTGACCTCTCGAGTGCAAAGGGTTAACCCTTTACGCTCGAAAGTTTTTCACTTGAAATATTCTATACTTTCTAATTTGACATAGACGAGATTCTTTAAAATGAATTTAACAAGAATAGTATATAAATTAGGTAACGAAACTATTTTCTTTTAATATCCCACGCACTGATGCAATATACAAATGTTAACGGTGAATCCGATAATTTATAACTTTACAAATCAAATCAACTGGTGACTGAGAGTCACCTGTCGAGTGCAAAGGGTTAAAGTTCCTACGCGAAACAGAGTTTCGTTATGACAGTGTAGACTGTGAACGCGTTAAAAATTGCATCATCATTGTTTAACTTTCCACGATGCGCGTGTCAGCTCGTTAACGAAGGTTCCCGGTGGGAAAATATTTTTCCAGGCTGGCGAGACCGGAGAGATATCGTTCGGTGACGGAAGGTGGACGCAACGCGATGAGCCTGTGCACCCCGACAGCCCTTCCCCTAGCCATTAGTCTTCAGGGTACGTCGTTGTTGACGCCGACGCCGAACCCGACGACGACGCCGACGTCAGGAAGCTCGTACGTGACGATGATGCATCGGGAGCCGAGATTTATGTGCCGCGACACGCCCCCGTCGTGAACGCGAACGCCGTTCTCGAGTAGAGTGCAAGATGCTTGCGCTTTAACGGTGCCATTTTTGTTCCCCCTGCCGAGAATTTGGAAGTTCTCGTCGCGAAATGTTTCGAGGAACCACGAAGAAACGTCTATTTCACCTGCGACCCGGTAGAGTTGATCGATTCCCACGAACGTCAGTGAAACGATCGACGAACGATCGATATGAACGGACGCGAGACATTTGGGTACGTAATTAGGAAGTCGCCGCGGGCGTTGCTGGTCGAACGACGAAGGATGATTCAAGAGAGAACTGTTAATAACGATCCTCGAAAGTCACTTTAATTCTCAACACGAGTATCCCTGTGCCCGAAGAAGCTCGACCTTAATAGAAAACTCAGCTGCGAACTGTGTAACCCGTAAAGTACCATGAATGTATCTCGATGTGATCAAAGGACGAATTACTTTGTCGGAACTGGCCCTCACCCTTTCGGGGATGATTCTCTGGAGAATAGACAAGAGGAGGGAATCGTTCTGTACCTATTGTTGTTGAACCAAAGATTAACGATAAGTTCAAGTGTACGTAGAGAGGGTATCAAAGAATTGACGAAATAAAGTAACTTTAACTATCGACAGTCTTCTTTGAGATCATTATTTATAACTACCCTTCGTCGAAGATCCATTCGTCTCTGTTCGATATTAACCCATTCGAGACCGATTGCACACCGTGTGTGCAATAATAACACTGGAACTACCGAGCTTTTAATACGATTAATATGTAATCCATATAAAAATTGTAATGATAGATTATTGTCAGTTTTTTAGACATTCATTATAGTATTCAAGTGACACTATTTATTTTCAAAATCATTTCGAATATTCAATGCTTCGATGATATCAGTAATTGCTAAATAAAATAATCGAAACCTGTCATCCTGACTGATACGTAGTTCTAGTGATAATTTCCTTATGTCCTCTCCTAGGAACCGTGTTCGAAAAAAATCCATCTCGAATATATTAACAAACACGAAATAATCATTCCCATTTCGCCTTCATTTGTACTAACTTTTATTTGACAAATAAAAAGTATCCATTACAAATAATTGTAAACTGTATATCTTATATAGTACACACATCGTGATTCGAGTTTTTCGACTCTCGTTCTTTCTTTCTTTCTTTCTCTCTCTCTCTCTCTCTCTCTCTCCCTCTCGTTCACCCGTAATATATTTTCATTAAACATACGCTAAC